TTTGCTTAGAAGCTGCAACCAGGAATAAGCTATCTTGGGACCCCTAAGTTGGTCTCTTCCTGTCTGACAGCAATGGAGCTCTCTCGAGAGGATTATCACCCGGTACAGTAAATTCATTTACATTTAATGCCTTGCCTTAATGCACTCCAAATAGAAAAGGCAGAGACTGGCATATTAGCTCCTTCATGGCTTTGATACTATTGTCTTATGTTATTTTTTACCTGATTTCAAGTTTTTGTTGTTGTTGTTGTTGTTGTTTTTTATAGTCTTTAATTGAAGTGATGATAAAGGAAATAGATCTATTTAAAAACAAAACCAAACAGCTATTTCTGTCTAGATTAAGAGGTGGCACCAGGTGTGGGATTCACATTTTGAGTGGCCACTTGCGGTGCGACTTCGATGATCCGGGGTTTGTCTATGATCCTGGCGGTATGGTTGCCCTTCTCTACAGTCCCAATAATCCATGCTTGGTGCCCTTCACCATATTTGGGGGACTTTATCTCTGCACAGAACCGAGCTGCTTGTTCACGTGGTAAACAGATTAGAAGACCTCCTCATCCCAGCTGTGGTCATACTCATGTATGGGCTTTGTCCTTTGCAGGAACCTTCCATCAGCCTTAGGAGTCTACTCCTCAGAGTGGGCCCAGCATCCCAGTACCTGATGTCTCTGGGCAGGTCCCGTGCATGAGGCCAAACATGTTCCCACAGGCCTTGCTCACAGCAGCCATCTTGGCCAGCACGGGAAGGTTGTGGATCACAAACGACACCTCGTTCCTCTGTTGCTTGGCCAGGTTCTGCGCATGGCCCAGGATCCCAAAGCCTGTGATGTCGGTGGCTGCATGGGCGTTGAATGTGTGCATGAGCCCTGTAGCTGAGAGAGGGCAGAGCAGTGACATGGAGAGAAAACCACCTGTCCTCAACTCAGACTCTCACCTCCACCAGTGACCTGCAAACTCCCCATTTGTCAGGGACATGGCACAGAGGAACAATGAAAATGTAAGGTATAGCCAACAAAAAGCAGAGTGGATTCTGAAAGGTGATTTCTTATTTCAGTCTGAACCACTTGGAACTTCTCAACAGCTTCAATCAACAGTAATTTTCCAGAAAACAACAACAAAACTCTACAGAGGAATTACCATCTCAGTGGAAGGTAAACTTGTCAAAACCATCCTAAAATCAAAGAACAGGACTTTTTTTTTTTTTTTGTCTTTTTTTTTTTTCGTGACCGGCAACGGATCGCAACCCTCAGTGTTGCCCGCACTCCTCGCTCAGCCAGTGAGCTGCCGGTCTATATGTGGGATCCGAACCCTCGGCGGGAGCACCGCCGCGCTTCCCAAGCGGCACACTGTAGCAGTGCGCCACCAGGCCAGCCATTACCATCTCAGTGGAAGGTAAACTTGTCAAAACCATCCTAAAATCAAAGAACAGGACTTTTTAAGAATGCCTGACTTAAAATCCAAGGTATTCTCACTAAAGATGAAAGTTTAATTTCTTTTTTATTTAAATAGAAAAATTCAGACTTTATTTTATGGAGCAGTTTTGGGTTTAGAGAAATTGAGTAGAGTGCAGGGAGTTCCCACATATCCTCTCCCCAGGTTTTGCCTATTTGAAATTCTGCATTAGAGCATGCACTGGATACTGGATAAGTCAATTGGATAAAACTGGATAAGACTAACACGTTACTATTAACTGAAGTTCAGTTTACATCAGGGTTCATTCACTCTGTGTTGTCAATTCTGTGAGTTTTCACAAATGAGTAATGGCATGCATTTAACATCACAGCATCACACAGAGCAATTCCACTGCCCTAAAATAAAAGTCCGCTGTGCTCTGCCTGTTTACCCTCCTCTTCCCAACCCCTGGCAACTGCTGATCTTTTTACTGTCTCTAGTTTTGCCTTTTCCAGAGTGTCATATACTTGGATTCATACTGTATTCTAGCCGTTTTCAGAACGGCTTCTTTACAGGCATTTAAGGTTCCTCAGGTCTTTTCACAGCTTGATGGCTCATTTCTTTTTACTGCTCCATGATATTCTACAGGGTAAATGTGCCACAGTTTGTTTATCCATTCACCTACTGAAGGACACCTTGGTTGCTTCTAAGTTTTGGCCATTATGAATAAATATGCTTATAAACATTTATGTGCAGGTTTTTGTGAGGACCTGTTTTCACCTCCTTTGGGTAAACATCAAGGAGCACAACTGCTGGATCATATGGTCATAATACATTGCAGTTTTGTAAAAAACTGCCAAACTGTCCTCCAAAGTGGCTATACCATTTTGCATTTCCACTAGCAATCAGAGAGTTCCTGTCACTCCACGTCCTTGGCAGCATGCCTGGCACGCCAGATGTCAGGACTTCCAACAGACCCAGGAGAATGCTTTCTTCTCAATTACAAAGCATAACTGGTGCTCCCTGTCCTGTTGAGCCTGGCCATATTCATCATCGCCTCTTGGTATGCCAACTCAACATCTTCTTGGGTGACCACTAATTTAATTTTATTCCATTTTTCAGGGATATCCATCCACTGGTGCACAGCAATGGCAACTTGTGTCCCCAGGGGCTTTGTCAACACCAACATGTCCCCTGGCACTGCATTATCCGGCATGATAAATTCATTGGGCTGGCAGACAGTTGTAGCGACTCCTCCCAAAACAATCCAGGGGTTTAAGACCGTTTGGCCACCTGTTACAGACGTTCCTGCTTCCTCCGCTGCATCTTTAAAACCCTGTATAATTAGGGGCATCACTTTATCCCTTTCCCTGTCGGTCATTTTATTGCTGACTCCAAGGAGCATCAACATGTTGTCACATTCCATGACCCCCATTGCATAGAGGTCACTGAGGACATTGGCACATGCAATCCTGCCCATCATGTAAGGATCATCTACGATAGGATAAATGTAATCTGTCGTTTGAACCAAGGAAAGACCACCATGCCTCAAAGGAATAACGCAGGTATCCATTCCAATGCCAAGTCTTGGCATAATGGCTTCCAGAAACTGCTCATCTTCTTGGAAGTGGTTCTCTTGTAAGGATTCCAGCAATTTCTGCAGGACATCTTGGGGAACTTTGCAGCCCATGCCCTTCAGTTCAGTGAATCTGGTTAGCCAGAAGCTCTTGTCCAATTCATAACTCTCCGGGTTAAAGGACTCCCACGTAGACATGGTTCTTGGGCCCACACTCCTCACTGCTCAGCCCCTCCCCTCCCTCTCCTGGTTGGCTGGGTTCTTTAGGGATCCACCGGTTTGCTTTGCACCCTCCGCCTCCTCCCGAAAATGGGCCGCGGCCGTTCCCACAATGCCCCGGGCGCGGCCGGGCTCCCTTAAGCATCGCCTGAATAAAAATGCCGCTCCCGGCGGCCACGGTGGTGGCGGAGGCCGGGCCTTGCCTGGGCGCCGTGGGGGCTCAGCCTGGCTCAGCGCGGCCCTGCGGGAACCGGGCCGCCACGCTCCCGCCGGCTGGGCGCCTCAAGTTTTTAAATTTAATTAAAGTATAAGGAGCAGTAGGGCCTTATTGTGCGATGGCCCCTTTTAATTCCTTCATAAAAGTGAAACCAAACTGCTCATGTTTACGAGTGGGCCAGCCTCCTGAAGCACTAGGTACTTCAGTAACAGGGAAGGTGAAGAGGGAGTCAGAAAAACCAGGAGAATGAGCAATATCAGGATCATGAGAAGATTGCAACTCCTTTAATTTTGTAATAAGGAGCCACAATTTTTTTTTCTAACAAAATTTGTTTTTCTAACTGGTGAGTTTTTGATTCCATAGTTTTAAGGGGCTCATTAACAGGAGAATCTACAGGTGCAGAGGGAGTATTGTAAGGGGGAGGACGAGACGGCAGAGACTCTGCCATAAAGGCAGCCGCCAATGATTTATAGCGTTCGGCTTCAAATTGAGTGGACTCATCCTCTAATTCATCCCAATCTACTTCAGAGGAGTCAGAGTCATAAGCAGCCCCAGCAATCTTTGTGTTATGACCGGAATGTGAATCCGTTTTAGCTTTAAGGCAGTCATCCTCCAAAGAAACCAAATCAACCTCATTTCGGCTTGAACATACATCTGATTTTGAACTAGACTTTAAGATTTTTTTCAGTTTGAGTGACTGTTGCAGACACCTCCGGAGATCCTTTCCTATTTTGAATCATATCTCTAATTAGATTCCAGTAAGAAAAGGCAGTTACTGGAAATTTTTCCGGACCAAAGATTACATAATAATCCTGCAAAGCATCACCAACTCTCATCCATTTTTTATAATTTATTGTGCCTTCCTCGGGAAACCAAGGGCACAGATTTCTAATAAAATCAAAAAACTGTAATAAATCACTTGTTTTAACCTTTACTTCTCACGTCTTTAAAGCCTTTTGCAATTGTCTAATATACATCTCATGCCGGCTCAATTCTTGTCCCATTATATCAGGCTCACTTACTCACCTTAATCACAGTGCAGCAGGCTCCCACAAAAGATCAAGGTCCTTTAATTCAGATGGCCGTCCCTTTATTGCGCCTTCTTCCTCACGGGATCCCCCGTATCACAGGCCCCACGTTGGGCGCCAAAAATGTCCCGCCCCACGGGTTATTCAACGTAGACCTGGAGGGGGGAGTGGGAATGGGATGGAACAAGAGATGCAAGAAATTGAGACAAGATAGTATTCTGATCAAGTCTTGTTTATTGGCTCTAAGGTTACATGTTATATAGGAAAGAAGCAGGCATACTGTAAGAAGTCAGGAATGCAAGGATGTGATAAGGTCTTGAGAGGAAACAAAGACAAGACATTCCTGACACAGTGCAGCCCCCAATCTTTACAGCAAAGCAGAAACTTGAAAGAAGATAAAAGGTCCCCCTTGAGTAAACTTGCATAGCCGGGAACACAGAATTCCCGGCACAAACAGATTATGAGGCAGTTATCATGTAAGCACGGCCATTTGGCACAAGCAGGTTGTCATGCAGGCACGGCCACACATACAGGGGTGTGGGGCTGCATGCTCCCAACACTTTTGTACAGTCTTTAGGTTTTTCTATATATTGGATCATGCCATTTGCAAACAGAGACAGTTTGACTTTGTCTTTTCCAATCTGAAAAACATTTCTTTCTCTTGTCTGATTTCTCTGGCTAGTACTTCCAATATTATGTTAAATCAGCATGGTGAGAGTGGGCATCCTTGTTTTTTTCCTGTTCTGAAAGCTTTTCCCCATTCAGAATGATGTTGGCAGTGAGTTTGATATATATAGCTTTTAATATGTTGAGATATTTTCCTTCTATACCCAATTTGCTGAGAGTTTTTGTCATGAATGGATGCTGAATTTTGTTGAATGGTTTTTCTGCATCTGTTAAGATAAGCACATGGTTTTTGTCCTTGCTTTTGTTGTTGTAGTATATCTCATTTATTGATTTGTGTATGTTGAACCATCCTTGCATCCCTGGGATGAATCCTACTTTATTATTATGTACAATATTTTTCCATCTCTTTTCTATTAGTCTGTGTGTGTCTTTACAGGTGAGATGAGTCTTTTGTAGACAGTAAATAGGTGAGTCTATCTTTTTAATTTAGTTAGTCTAAGTCTTATGAGTGAAGAATTTAATCCATTTACATTTAGGTTGTTATTGAAAGGTGTTGTTTTACTCCTGGCCTTTTTATCAATTTTGGCTTGTATATTTTAAATATCATTTGTTCCTTTTCTTCCCCTTTCATTGGTTTTCTTCAGTCTTTGTTCATTTTTGAGGTGGTAAGATATAGTTTCTTTTTTTCTCACTTGCTTTTTTGTTCTTCCAGTGGGTTTTGTTCTTCCTTGTGTATTCATGTTAATGATTACTGTTTTTGAATTCTAGGTGCAGAACACCCTTGTGAATTTCTTGTAGAGTTAGTTGCATGATGGTGAACTCCCACAATTTCTGTTTGTATGGGAAATGCACTATTTCCCCCTCATCTCTGAAGGATAGCTTTGGTGGTTATAGAATTCTTGGCTGGCAGCTTTTTTTCTTTTAGCATTTTGATTACATCATCCCATTCTCTCTGACCTGTAGAGTTTCTTTTGAGAAGACTGTTGTTAGTGTGATGAGGACTCTCCTATACTGACTTGATGCTTTTCTCTTGCTATTTTTATGATTCCATCTTCATCTTTGAGTTTTCCAGTTTGAGTATAATGTGTCTCACAAAGGACGTATCTGAATTAAATCTATTTCAAAATCTTTGAGCCTCCTGGATTGTAAGGTCCATGTTTCTCCCTAGACCTGGGAAGTTTTCTGCTATTATTTGATTGGATATATTTTTAATGCCTTTTCCCTTCTCCTCCCCTTCCAGAACACCCATAATTCAGATATTTGTGTCTGATAGCTCTCTTAGATTTTCTTCATTTTATTTTCTTTTCTTTTTTCTATTTTTGTCCACCTGGGTTATTTTGAAAAGTCTGTCTTCAAGATCTGAAATTCTTCCTTCTGCTTGCTCTAGCCTGCTGCTTAAGCTATTGGCTGCATTTGTTATTTTGTAAAGTGAGTTCTTCAGTTCCAGGAGTCCAGTTACACTTTTTTAAAGATATTAATTTCTTTGCAAATGTCCTCCTTCATATCCTGGATAGTTTTTCTCATTTTGTTGGGTCATCTAACTGGATCTCCTTGCATTTCATTGATTTTCCTTAAGATTCTCACTTTGAACTCTTTTTCAGTCTTTTCAAGGGGTTACTGCTCTATGGGACATTGAGTATTAGTAATCTCAATAATATTTGAGGATTCTTTTATTCCATTGGTGGTATTACATTTTCTTATTATTATTAAAAAAATATTTCTAGTGTCTCTACATTGATGTTGGGTCATCTGGTAGAGCAGTTGCTTCTTCGATAACTCTGGAGTGGGCACTGAGAAGAGAGAATTCCTCTGGTAGATATGTTTTATATTGACCACTAAGTAGGGAGTTTCAGTATATGTTCCAGGTAGATGTAGTAGTGTACTCTCCATGTGGGTACTTTGGCCATATTCAATGTTAGAGTTGCATGTGAGTGCTTCCATGAACAGGGCACTGAGGCACTGTAGTGATTCCTTGCTAAAGTTAGTGTAGAGCTAGGGCTAGGTTTCACAGACCCCTCCAACCCATTCATAAATCCTTCACATGCAGGACTATGAGCTAGGTAACAGGAAAATGTCCTTGGAGCTGTGGGTGAAGAAATAATAAGCTTTATTCAGCACACATGTTTAAGAGCTAGGTAGTCCAAGGATAAACTAAGCATCTGCCAGCAAAGTAAACCTGGTCTATTTTTAGATGTGAGCTCTTCCGAACACCAGTTCAGAGCCACTGCCTCACACACTGAAGAACATACAAAAATAACAACAAGCCAAAAGATACAGGGACATGCATGTGCACTAACTCCACTCCCACATAACTTGTTTACAAAGAATATGCTGCACCACAGCCAGCTGGACCTGAGGTGAGGGGGCCTGACTAAACTACTCTATTTTTCTCACAGTTAGTGACATTGTGTTGGGTCATCAAGTCTTGTGGGTGAGCTCTCAAGTTCTTGGGAGAAGCACTTGGGTGCCCTGTCACTCTGTGGCTGAGATGAGTGACCCTGGTCAGCTTTCTTGGCACACTAGCTAGTTTCCCATGACCCCAATGAGTGCATTAGGGTATACTGGAGCTCCTCAGTTTAAAAGGGTGACCCTGGGTGGGGTTTTTTTTTCCTCTTTCCTACAGACAGAGGTTCCTCCTAGGTCCTTGCTTCCCCTGCTTGAGGGATGGATTGGTCATGGTTGGAAATTTTCTTCATTACTATTTTTTACTATCCTGGGTTTCTGCATTACCCAGGGGCTCCACAGGTGTCTCTCCCCAGATCAAGGCAGTGGTGTGAGCTGTGCACATGCCTCCCAACCCCAGGTGCACTACTGTGGGGAGCAGTGTAATTCTCCCTGTGAGTTGGGCCATTGAGTTGCAGGTCTGAACTTGCTCACCTCTTTCATGGCACTCTGCTGGTGACCCTTCTTGTGTCAATGCAGTCAAATGGTAATGTACTGCCTGGATGGTCATGGTGTCTGCAGCAGCTGCTGCTGTGGCGGCAAACCACCCTTGCTGCAACTGTGGCAGCTGGCTGTCCTTTTGGAAGCAGAATCTGTAGCAGCAGCAGGCCACCCACTCAGTAGCACCCCACACTCCTGTCTGTCCACAGGGGATGCCCTTAGTT